GTCGCGCAGACACTTGATACTCTCTTTTTAGAGTGATCGATTGGTGCGGCGGTCTGACGTTGAGAAATCGATCTGTCAGCAGAGTCCTCAGAGTTTGGTTTCGACTGGTTTTAGTACTCCTCTTATCTCTCTGGTTCACCACCGATTTTGTGCCCAGTCATATCGACTTTCCTCTTTGCCATCATCGTCATCGCCTCAATCGCATCATGACTTGTACTTGTACGGCCATTGTTGCAAAAATCTAACTTCTTCCTTTTATCTCAAGTGCCCTGCCGCAGCGCAATCTCTTTCTTTCTTTCTTTATCGAACCGCGCATATTTTTAACCAGCTGTAGTATTTACGTTCTCTTTTCTCATCTTTTTTTGCAGATAAGCAGGCAGATCAGACTTGTAAGATGATCTCTAGCAGGAGTTAGATGCAGAGCTTATGGTGGTCCGTAGTTAGGTCGTCATCATCACCATCAGAACGTCGATGCTCGGCGATCAGCACCGACCATTTGCCTCTTCATTCTCAACCTCAACCTCAACAACAACCACCCGAGATGATGGAGAAGACTACGACGACGACAACGGCGAGTGGTGCACACGAACCTCATAGAAAAGAAGTCGAAACTAAGCACCAGCCAACACCAGCCTACTCCTACTTCTTCTTCGCCTTCCTCGCCACCGCCATCACCCTCGTCCTCACGCTGCTGATCACCCACCACCGAAGTTCAACTGTTTCGCAGTCCTATCACCTGATCCCGCTGCACGACCTCCACGAGACGATCCGCGACCGCGACTACGCCATCGTCTTCGACGGCGGCTCCACCGGCACGCGCGTCCACATCTTCAGCTTCCTCATCAAGCCGGAGCTGAAGCAGCGAAAGATACTGCTCGGTGGGGAGAGCTACTTCTACGTGAAGCCCGGCCTCAGCTCCTATGCGGCCAACGTCTCTGGGGCGGCCTGGAGCCTGGAGCCGCTGCTGAGGGCGGCTGGGCGCCATGTTCCCTCGCTCCTGGCCCCGCAGACGCCGCTCATTCTGAAGGCGACTGCAGGGCTGAGGTTGTTGCCTGGGGAGGTGTCGCAGGAGATTCTGGACAGTGTCCAAAGAAGGTTGGAGGCTTTGCCTTTTAAAGGTAAGAGGGATTGTTTGGTTTGTTTTTGTAATAACCCGTAATTTACCCGTTGTCAGTGGCCACCGACGCCGTCTCGATGCTGGCCGACCAGGACGAGGGCCTCTACGCCTGGTACACCGTCAACTTTCTGCTCGACCGCCTGCACAACATTAGCGAGTCGATTGCCACGCTCGACCTAGGTGGCGGCTCGACGCAGGTCACCTTCAGCACGGCCGATGTTAATACCCTGGTAGGTGGTTGTGTTTTGAAGTCTTTTAATTACGGATTATAATAACTTTTCTTTTCCTTTTTTAGGTGATGTCCCCGCCCGGCTTCATCACCCGGCAGCACATTGAGGGCGAGCCGGAGTACATCTACTCGCACTCCTACCTCGGAAATGGGCTCATGTCGGCGCGGGAGGCCATTCTGCTGCGGTACTCGAGGGTGGTCGGCGAGGAGCGGGGTGTCTTCTCGTCGGAACACCACCACCTTGAGAAGGTGCACTACCGGGTAATGAGCCCCTGCTTTCGGAGTCTGGGAAACCACAGCAGCACCTCGTGGACCTCCTTCAACGGCCACCGCTTCACCATCGGCTATGACCGGTCGGTGGCGGCTGAAGAGTATGGCAGCGACTTTGCCGCCTGCTACCAGGCGGCGCAGCACCTCGTCGACGCCTCCGCCATTGACCGCCCTCCGGAGCTGGCCCAGCGAGCCGTCTACGCGATGTCCTACTTCTACGACCGCATGAAGGACATTCGCGTGGTGAGGGAGGAGTCCGGGTACGTCAAGGTGCGCGATTACTTTCGCTACGCGGAGCACCTCTGCGGCGGGACGATCCGCCTGAAGCGGCAGTCCCCTTTCCTTTGCCTCGACCTCGCCTACATTGCCGCCTACCTCCATGATGGCCTGGGGCTGCCGCTGCACAAGGATATTCTGGTGAGTAGAAAGAGAGAGGGAAATTAAAGATGTGGTGCTAATGTTTTGGGTTTTCTTCGGTAGCTGATCAAGAAGTTCAAGGGCATCGAGATTAGCTGGGCGCTCGGAGCTGCCATCAATCTCTTTGACATTCACTAATGCAGAACTGAGCTTCTGTTTTCGTGTTTGTTTTGGTCGCCCCCCCTCTCCTCTCTCTCTGTGATAGTTGAAATACTGCTAAAATGTGTCCTGCCCTGTCCCTCTTTTTGGTTGCTGCAGATATCGAGTGCGAGCCCCTCTAATCTATTCATCGTCATCACCCTCATCTGTGTCATCATCATCATTGTGATCATTTCTATCTATTTATTTGCATCCCCTCCTCTCTTTTTTTCTGAAAATGTCATCTTTATCATCATCACCACCACCACACCTGTCCCACCTACTCATTACCTTTTTTTCGGATAGCTTTTGTACAGAATTTAGGAATTCGATGCTGAGGATTTTTTATTGTCGTTGAAAATGAAATAAATTAAACACTTAGGTAAAATAAATAGAGGAAGTCTGAGAAGATCCAGGTGGTTCGTTCTTCACCTTCTCGCCAGACAGAAGCCTTGGCCAATGTCCAGGAGAGTGGCCACCAGACTGTCGACGGTGTTCTTCATGAAGGCGAGGTTCTCCGGGCGGAGCCAGCGCAGGTCGTCCCCGGGGCGGTGGTAGTGGAAGGTCATGTCGCGCCGCCAGGGCCCCAGGTCGCTCAACAGAACCGAGTGGAAGGTGGTCTCCTTCTCGATGGGGTACCAGAAGCTGGCGTGGTCGCTCCGGGCAAAGGTCCCGTACTTGGAGTACTTGCTCCAGCTGCGGGCCACCTCGTGGCTGTAGGTGGGCAGCGGCGGGTCCATCAGCTTGATGGGGTAGGCGCGCTTGTTGCGCCAGTTCTTCTCCAGGAAGAAGAAGAGGTCCTGGTCGATGTTGCGGCGCGCCCAGGCGCTGAGGAAGTTCCCGCGGGCGCCCGTCTCCTTCACCTCCTCCACGAAGGCGGGCAGGGTCGGCTGTGGGAGGGTGGGTGGTTGGGTGGAAATAGAAATCGAAATGGAAACGTAAACAAAGAATGTATGAGAAAGCGTACCCAAAAATCGCGCAGCGATTGACTGCCATCGGTGGTGTTGTAGGCGAGCAGCATGTCCATGATGTAGGCGCCGTTGAACTTGGCCTTGTTCTTCCGAATCTCCGTTGGAATGAGGTACTGCTGGACGAAGTACTTGCTGCCCTTTAGGTACTACAAAAGGAAGAGGTGAGTTTGAAAGAGGTAAATCGAAACACTGAATTTTGATACCTCCTCCTCCAGGTCGAAGAGCGTGAAGATGATGGTCCGATTGAAGTAGCACTTGTGTTTGGTCAGCAGCCGGGCAATCTCGAGAACGGCCGCCGAGCCGCTGCCGTTGTCGTCCACGCCAGCCGACTTCTTCACCGTATCGTAGTGGGCACCGACGAGGAAGATTTCATCGGCGGGCGTGCCCCTGTGCTTTCCCGGCAAGATGGCGATGATGTTGGTGGCCGTCTGCCGTCGTTTGGCCCCCGGGTACAGGGGCTAACGAAGGAAGAAGGGGAAGGTAAGTTTAAGAAATTGGCAATAGTTTTGCCGTTGACTTACCATCTTGCTGTGATTCTCCTCCGTCTTGAAGACGTGAAAAGCCGTCTTCAGCCCATAGCTGAGGAACTTCTCCTTCAGGCTCTCGCGAAGGTCTCTCATGTAGTCGCGATCATCAGACCAGTGCCGCGACAAGGAAAAATATTGGCGAATGGTGGCATTTAGAACTTCGACGCTGGTCACCGGCACAAAACCACCACCTGAAAAGCGGTCCACCTCGAGCGGATTCGAGGTGACCATCACGCCGCCTCCCTGGTGGACATGAGCATGCGGATAGAGGTGATCATGGTGAGGGTGCTGAAGGTGATGGGGTTTATATTGAACCTGGCCGAAACGGTCAAAGTGGTCAGCGGCGCCGGTGTTGATGTACTGGTGCGCTGGTTCACTTGAAGAAGTGGACTTATTCGCCGGCTCATCGAAGACCACCACGGGCGTCTCCGCGTACAGTTGGCTATTTTCATCCTCGTTGTTCCGCTCCTGCCACCAGTGGCTGAAGTTCCACGCCGCTGAAGAGGAAGAAGAACTGGGATGATAGTGGTCGAGGTGCTCTAAAATGGGCCAAGAAGTTGTTGGCGGAAATTCCTCATCTTTCACCACCACCACCGAGCCCTCCTCTCCCTCCACTACAGGAGTGGCATCAAGGACTACCACGAACCACAAAGAGAAGATAAAGAAGAACAGGGGAAGAAGATGTCGAATATGAGCAGTGGAGGAGATCATCTTGAACACAGCAGAAAGACAAAGTTTATGTTGATGCTGCGCCAACTCGACGACCCTTCAAGTGGCTTTCCCGTCGGCCGACTGACCAAGTTTTTGGTGGCCAAGTTTTCTGTTTTGGTCGGTAAGCTCTCGTTGCCATCTTTTCTCTCATCTCATTTCATGACCAAGGTCACTCGGTGATCTTAATTCCCCAAACAGGACTGAGGTAAGTCAAAGAAGGTGATGACCCTTCTCTCTTTCTCTTTTTCCCGTTATCTAAATATAGCCACTACCGCTCCCGCCGCCGTCGACAATCAGTTTCTTTCATTTAGAACCGGTTTGATTTGAAGACGAAGAAGAGCTGACCATCACATCGCTGCAGTTGTTGTTGGTAGTCCTCCTGTTTTCCCTTCTTCTTTTGATGTTTTTAATTTAATCTTTTCTCTTTCTTTCCTTTTTCAGAGATTACAATCTCACCCTATTGTGTCCAATGCTATCGAGGTCATCTTGCACTGAGAAGTGTTGTTTTGCTGTAAAAAATGTTGACTTTTCCTAGTCAAAGCATTTTTGGGCGGATTAGCTGCTACAGCTGCTGCTAATGCAATCGACGGGCAATTAGCAATTGTAACCAGGCGCTAGAGAGTACTTAGGAGAAGGATCTTTTGATCTCCTCAACCTGATACGGCGGTTGTCAACGGCAAAGGATGGAGGCAATAAAGGTAAGTAAAGCTTAGGTGGTGGTGGTGATGAGAGGGATACTTGGAGGTGCGCTACAATTGCGTCTCCAATGATTGGCAGCTGTACTGTGAGGATCTTCTCGCCTACAAACTGCGCCACTTTATTTGATTTAGCAAAGAAGAAGAAAACAAAGAAAAAAGAAGAACTTCCAAAATGAACTTCAACTGTACACGGCGGCATTTTATTCTTCTCATTGGACTTCTGGTGGTGGTCAACTGGCAGATCGTTTCAGCAGCGGATGGAAGTGCTCTTAATGGAACAACAGCTCACCCAACAACTTCAAAGTCAGCAACAACTCTAATAGTTACAACCATTCTACCAACTGTATCAATAATTACGACAAAACCTGATCTGGTACCAGAACCAGAACCATCACCACCAACACCATCAACGACCCATGCGCCGACCACTCCTGCGCCCTGCAAACCCTGCCCCGCCCACTCTCGTCACTTTGACTTTGCGTCCTTCGTCGGCGGAATCATCCTCACCGGCGGTCTGGTGGTCATCGGCTACAGTCTCTGGCGGTACAATGCCATTCAGCGACTGAAGAGGACGATGTACTGAACGATGACTGGCGGCACTAGCCACCACTGACCACTGTACAAAGACACACACACTGCTGATAAACTGATTCGATAAATCTGCACCAGACTGATTATCTCTTTCTTCACTGCTCATCGTACAGCNACAGTCTCTGGCGGTACAATGCCATTCAGCGACTGAAGAGGACGATGTACTGAACGATGACTCGCACTGGACACTATACTGACCACTGTATAAAGACACCTGCTGATAAACTGATTCGATAACTCTGCACCAGACTGATTATCTCTTTCTTCTTCAGTGCTCATCGACTCATCGTACCACAGTCTGCAAAACTGTGTTCGCCTGGCTGAATGAGCCAATGAGTATGATAAACAAAAAGATGAGGAAGAAGAAGAGTTAGCAACAGCAGCAGTCACACTCAACTTGAAGTGCTGGTTTCTGTGGAGATAATACCTCTTCTCTTTCCCCCACCACCACGATAACCTCGAGCTGGTGGTGGTGGTGGTGGTGACTAACAGCGATCAAATGTGTGTGTGTTTGCCATTTGGCAAAGGCAGTCATTTACAGACGCACTTGCTCTGCACCGGCTCTCTCTCTCTCTCCCCGTTGATGTCATCACCGAAAAGATCGAGTGGGGGAAGA